AGGGAAGATCCTGAGCGGCTGGTACAACATCTACCCCCAAGGTGGCTGCAACGCCACCACCGTCTTCTGTGACATGGACACGGATGGTGGAGGATGGATCGTAAGTAGGATGAGGAGCGGGAGGTTTCTGTGTCCCTGCGATGATTTTTATTAGGGCTGCAAAGGATGGCACCAAACTAGAAACGAAAAGGGAGGAAAACACAGGCTGAGGGGACAGCTGAGGTTCACATCAGCATGCCTGGGTGAATCCCTGAGGATGCAGAGGATGAGCATCACATGCTCCTTCCTGTTTAACTCAGTGAATCGTTTCCTTCTCATTGCCAAGGACAGACGGAGGAGATCCGTGAGGGGGAGATTGCCCTGGAGTTCAGGCCCCAGAGACCCGCAGCAGTGTCCTGACACAGGGGCAGTGCCCCCCAGGTGCTTTCGAGGAGGGGTGGCCTGGTGGGGCTGAGGGTCTCCTTTCCTGCAGGTTTTCCAGAGGCGTTGGGATGGGTCAGTGAACTTCTTGCGAGATTGGGACTCATACAAGCGAGGGTTTGGCAGCCAGCTGACCGAGTTCTGGCTGGGGAACGACAACATCCACTTCCTCACCTCGCTGGGTAAGGTCTGCCTCCGTCCCGGGCTGAAGCCCTGAGAGTCCAAACCCGGCACCACATTTGGTTGCTTAAGGACTCTGAACTTCTCGTGTCCATCTGACACCCCCACAGTTAATCCTAAAGTGGGGCTCTTGCAGCCCATTGCACACAGGAATTTGCGCTCTAAAATTCAAAAAAAGGAAAGCTAGAAGACAGGGAAGAGAATGAGCTGGCTCATGGAGATAGGCCAGCACATCTTCCCACTAGGGATGGTGATGGCAGTCACCTTGTTCACACAGAGCCCTGGTTGCGTGCAGGACTCCTGAGCATGTGGCCTTCAGTGCCCATTGCATCAGAAAAGGTGTTTCACGAGAAAGCCATCAAAGGCACAGGAGGTTCTGCAGGAATTTCAAATCAATGTTAACCTCTCAAGTAGTGGAAGGTCCTCTCAAGTCAGCCCAGGGATCCTTGAACCCTCCACCCTGAAATCCAGTGTGTACTCACCACCAGCCCTGCACCACTGCTGTCCACCTTCTCTTCTAGGACCCTGTGAGCTCCGCATTGACCTGAGAGACTTTGAAAACAACTACTATTTCGCCAAGTATTCTTCATTCAGAGTTTTAGGAGAGTCTGAGAAATACAAACTGGTTCTAGGAGACTTCCTTGGTGGAAACGCTGGTAAGTTAGCACCAGACTCACTGCTTTCTAGAGCATTTGGCAATGTTCAGTGTTTATAGTGCATAGCTGTATCACGCAAACTCCTTGTACCATCTACATTTTGGGTCATTTTTTTCAAAATTAGCCATGGTACCCCAGGTGCTGAGGGACCTCTGGGTGCAGAGAAGAACAGGGACACCCATCACCCACAGAAGCGTGACCCAGAGCATTAGGTACAAGCCCAGCTGTGTGGTTTAGCAGCAAATGGGGAGCAGCAAATGGTCCTGAGCAGCACCCCATCCAAAAAGGCCTTCCCAACAGCTCCGCAGCAGCTAGGCCAAGTTCTGCTTGGAAAGGGCGAGTGTCAGGAGGAAGGAGCCAGGCTCTGCTCTGGGATGGCCAATGCCAGGACAAGGGGCAATGGTCCCAAGCTGGAGCATAGGGGGTTCAACCTGAAGATGAGGCCAAACTTTGTCAGTGTGAGGGTTATGGAGCATGGCCCAGGCTGCCCAGAGAGGTTGTGGAGTCTCCTTGTGTGGAGACACCCAAAGCCCTGGCCGTGTTCCTGTGTGACTGCTCTGGTGATCCTGCTCTGGCAGGGGTTGCACTGGGGGAGCTTTCCAGGTCCCTTTCAATTCCTCATATTCTGTGATTCTGTGATTCTGTAACTGTGAACGTGTGCTCTCTGCAGGAGACTCCTTGTCGTACCACAAGGACATGCCGTTTTCAACGACAGACCAGGACAACGACATGAGCTCCTTTAACTGTGCCACTGAATACAAGGGAGCGTGGTGGTACAACGACTGCCACTTCTCCAACCTGAATGGGATGTACTGGCTGGGCGTTCACGGGAGCTACGCTGATGGCATCAACTGGAAGACAGGCAAAGAATACCATTACTCCCATAAGCAAACGGAAATGAAATTCAGGCCAGTTTAACACGGAGAGAGTGTGTCTGACTAGCACCAGCAAGTGCCACTCAACAGCCAAGAGAAGACACAAAACACAATGTTGTTTAAGGGCAAAATTGGACCAGGAAGGATATTACAGGTTGTGCCTTCAGCCCAGAGCAGACTTTGAGAGACCAGAAGAGATCGGTGCTGGTTTGAGCCCCTGCAAGCACCAGACTCTCACCCTGGACTATCTCCAGCAGCCCCACAGATGCTGACTGAGCCCAAGCATCTTCTGAAAAGCGCATTACCTTGATTTAAAAATCAAGTGATGGTGAGGCCACCACATCTCAGTAAAGATACAGATATGCTATCAGTAAAGATAGTATCACCCTAAATGGTAATTACTGGTAATTTTCAGTCTAATCCACACATATGAAGCCTCCAGTGTTCTTTCAGCCTCTTCTGTGGGCCCTTGTTTCCAGCAGCAGTTGAAGATGGGCAATCTGCTGGCAGATGGAGGCAGTTCATGCAGTTGGTTTGATGTTTGTTTTGATTGTCAGAACTGGTTGAAGTGTCTCTTCCTCTTGGACTCCTGCTCCTGGAGTCCTCCCCAGGCTGATGCAGGGTAGAGCCTGGTGCTAACTCCTCACTGCAGGGACAGACCAGAGCCAGTAGAAGCAGAGTATTTATTTGTGTTATGTTCCTCATGGACCCAGGTTATCACACTTATTGCACAGATGTGTAACAAGGGCATCTCTGGCCCTGCAACACTGAATCCAAACCTTGTGGCTGCGAAAAGCAAAGAGGTCACTCGCCCAGCGGGTCAACAATGTGCTAGGAAATAAACGTGAGGTTTTGCATCTCCCTATTCACTAGGTCCTGTCCCTGCTCACTCCTCCTTTTCAGGTACATGAGAAGATGCATCTGAGCGGAGAAACACATGCTGAAAGTCCCACAGTCACTGCCCCATCTCCAGGAGCTGTTTTATTCTCCTACTCCCAGTCACATTGACCTGCCCTCAGCAGGTCCCATGGTGTCCTGCTGTGTCTCACCAAATCAGCCACCAACGCTGCTGTCCTCAGAGAGGCCCACAGACAGCTCTGCAGAACCACAGACTCCTGCAGAGACATACGAGCTGGTGCTGACATCCTCAGCTTTAATCTAGCTAAAAGTGCTGAATCCTGGTTCTCTGCTCCCCTCTATGTTCTCATCCCACTATAGAGAAACCTTTGAGGTTTTGTCTATGAAGGACACCAATGTTACAGGGATTAAGAGACCACTAAGGTCAGGATCTGCCTATACATAACACCAGCCCAGAGCTCCCACCTCTCCTCAGCAGAAGGGTTGCCACTCCTCCATCAGCTGCCACACCTGAGCAATGGGGGAAGAGGCAGAGAACAGACTTGACATGTCCTAATGGGATATGCTCCCCAAACTGTCAGGATAGCACCCAGCTCCTCTTGCTTTCCAGGGGTCCCAAGAATAAAGGCAAAATAGCCCCAGTCAAGCTGTGACTGATCCTGGCCACTGCTCATCTCAGGCCTGTTTTCACTGTGTCCTGGAAAGCTCAGGGATCAGGTTTGCATTATGTGCTTGAAAACTCTCCTCATTGCCAGATCTGGAAAGGGCCAACCCTGAAGAGTAGAAAAGACAACATCCCTGGAGCTTCTCCAGACATTTCTCTTGCTGCAAATAATGACAAGTGAGGCTGGGGGAGACACCAGAGGAGCAGGATGGGCCAGACTATGGGGTGTGGGGAGACCCTCCTGCATTTTCTGAGACATGGGAGGTCTCAGAGGGACCTTGAGGTCCAAACCACCCATGGGATTGCTGTCAGCATCCAGGGGCTGCACATAGGCTCTTTCCAGAGAGCAGCACCACACTTGGGCCACGTGCAAGTGCCCAGAGGTTTCACAGCTGTAAATTCAAAAGCTGACTGACTTCAAGAGACTGTAATTCGAAAGGAAAGGTCGTCTTCCTACCTAAAACAGATAAGTCATGTGAGGAGCTCAGAGAACTGAGCTTCAGCACTGGTCTATGACTTGTGTTTGGATGCAGCAGACTCGGTGGTCCTGGCATAGTGAAAACCTCTCTCCGCTTTTCCAAGGTGCTGGTGTGAGAGGGTTGCACCTGAAGAGTAACTAATGCCATGTATGAGCACAAAACCAGCTGGGGAAGGGAAACTGTTTCGCTGCGGTTTGGTCCTTTGGGCTTATAGTCTGCTAGGGTGGACAAGGAGAATCCAACACCCTTTGCACTGTGCTTGTGCTGCTGCTGTCCCCTTCTGCCACCCAACCAAGTCAAGGGGGGACAAGGCACCAGCTGACCCTGCCACCAACTGAGGGCACAGGGGGCAATGGACTCAAAATACAACTCTCATAGGTAATACTCCTCTGTAAATTACTTTTAACTAAGGGTTTATTATGCCAGCTATGCTGAGAGAGCACAAAGCTACTCATTTAGTTGTGTTTAGTGCTTGGAAACACGGTGTTTTGGCAGCACCGCTCAGCAGACCCAGGATGATGAAACACAGCAGCCAGGGCTGATGTGGAAAAGAACCACCAGACTTTATTCCCAAATTGCATTTATAAAAACAAACAAACAAAGACACGATGGAGGGTGCGGGAACCCACGGCCTGTGGGGCACAGGATGGACAGGTCTGTGCCATCAGCACCTGAGGAGCAAGTGGCCAACAGAGGGAAGAGACAGCTCCTGGTCACGTACAGCAAAGGTGAGCCTGCTGCACCACCCAGACCCTCCACCCACCATTACAGCTGCTCCAGTTCACTGTCAGGGCTCCGAGACATGAAATCCAACCACTGACCTGCACTTTGCGCCAGACTGGTGTGGGGAAGCCAGGCCCTGCACTGCCAGCACAGGGACTTTGTACTTGGAGGGCATCGCAGCGGGTTCCCTATGCTTGCCTCTGCCTCCAGCTCTGAGCAGTGAAGAGAAACTCCTGGTCCACAAGATGCACCAGACAAATTCCCAGAGCATGTCTGCTCTCTGCAATGTTGGCTTTTCTAGCCCACGTGGTGCCTGCAGATAGTCTTGGTCCAAAGGTCCCTGCAGCAGCCACCAAAGGTCCTTTTAGCAATGACCTGACATCGAGATAAATCAAACCAAAGGATCTTCCTTTATACCACAGCATCACCAAAGTGTACACAACTCCAGTGGCTTTTCTACTGCATCCCAGCCCCAGGGTGGTTGCCCTGCAGGACCAGAATGAGATGTACAGCTGCAGGATCAGCCCAGTCTGCAGCAGGGCACCACCAGCACCAAACCCTGCTAGTCCTGGGCAGGGGGTGGCAGCAGGGGAGCAGCCCTGCAAGGAAGTGCCCCTGGAACAAGGCATCTTCACTCCATAAGAAGCTATTAAAGGGATCGGTTTGTTGAGGGATCTTCCTTCACTTTACTCTTGTGCAGGGATGCGGAAGAAGAGCAGAACAGACCAGGCCGCATGGGGAAGGCTGGGGAAAGGCTTTGTGAAATCAATGCCTCCAGCTAGGGACTGAGCCGAGGTGGACAGCTATCCTTCATCCATAGTGGCCTCTGGAAAACGCTTCATACCCTGAATGCTTTAGGTGTTAGGACATAATGTTGGATTCCTCATTCTCAAGCCTATTCCTCTATGGAAGAAGAGTCAATGGGAGCCAGAGAAGGCTTGGGAGGTTGCAGTTATCTCCTCAGTTCCATTTCCTGGTAGCCAAATATACATCCTGTGACTTCTGTCCAACGCATTGCTGTGATGCTGGCAGTGCTGGCTCTCACTGAAGACACACATACATATATCAGTGCTGTTTGCACTGCTGTTGCAGTCCATTTCACTGCTCTAAAGTACTCAAACTGATGCAAGTCAGAAAGTGGCCACTCTCCCTCCTCCAGGTTGAAAAGCTTCCCGCATTTTCGGTCTTCTACTTCTTGAGGTTTTGGCAGTATCCAGCGGGGATGAAGGTATTTGCTGGGCAGTTTACTGCTGAGCAGGAGATTTCTTGTGCAAATAAGTCACTATCCCACAGAAGCACAACAGCACCTCTGGGGAATTCGGAGCTGCAGATGCCCCTGGAGATGTGGCCAAGCTGGTGACCCTGGTGCCACTCTGTGCGTTCCATGCCAGCTCTTGATTCCTTACGATCCCTGGTGAAAATGCACCGTGCTCCTCCACCACGTCTCTGTCCCAGCACACCTCTGGCACTCCCTTGTGCAGGCACCACAGCACAGAGATACTGGGCTACGTATAACACCAAATCTGGCTCCAAGAGCTTGACATGAGGCCCCCAGGCAGGTCTATCACTACAAGGGAGAACAGCCTTCAAGCTGTAGGTTGCAGGCCCATTGGGCTAAACACTGTACAGATACTTTTTGGTGAACAGATGAATGACCCTTGCTCCAAGAGCTTACAGTCTACAAGAACAGAGCCACAGCTCCACCACTATACAGACTTTACACCTATTTACACACATAAGCATTTTGGACCCAGCAGAACACGGGATCTTTCAGACCAATGGCCCAGCAATCAGCTAATCTGGGGGCAGGGACTCGGCTGCTGACCTACTTCCCTTCATTTGCAATGCCAGACCATTTCTAGCCATTATTCTTTCCACCTCTGGTTTGGATCTGCAGCCCAAGCAACCTCCTCTGGCCCGCAGAAGAAAACACGGTATCAAAACTAAGTCCTGCCTGAGCCCTGGGGGTTCCACATCTCTGAGGAGGCGATGGTTGCTGTGCCAGGCAGAGAAATGAGTGAGATTCAGGAGGATGCTGGACCCAGCTCTCCCCTGTTTCGGCCTCACAAGCTGTTGGCACTGTGCTCATCGCCACGAGAAGGGACGAGAAGGGGGGAGGCAGACTCCTCCATCTTTGAGCCCCACTCAGGGAAGGCAGGGAAAAATCCAGACTGCCGTGATGCTGGGACGTGTTTGACAGTGCTTTTCTGAGAGGAGATATTAGTGGGTTAGTTCCTACCTTGGTAAGGCACACCCGCCCCATTGCAGAGCATACCTGTTCCTGCAAGGCTGCTGGATGGATGCTTTAATAAATAGAAGGTGATCCTGTGCTCACCAAGCACCCCAAAGCCCCTCTCAACACACAAACCCCAGCCCCTGAAAGATGATGCCCCAAG